ATACATACATACATACATACATACATACATACATACATACATACATACATACATACATACATACACATATACATATACATATGCATATGCATACTCATACAGACATACATACCTACATACATACATACATACATACATACATACATACATACATACATACATACATGCATACATACATACATACAGACATACATACATACATACATACATATAGTGCATGCATGCATGCGCCCTTTTCGGGGTCTCTTGAGGCCGTCTTGGGGGCCTCCTGGGCCGCCTTGGGGCCATCTGGGGCCGTCTTGGTCCCTCTGGGCAATCTTGGGGGCCTCTTGGGGCTGTTCTGGTGCGGTCTGGGGGCATTGTTGGCCTGTCTTGGGCCCTCTTGGGCCGTCTGGAGCCCCTCTGGGGGCCCTCTTGGAGCGTCTTGGGGCCGTCTTGGGCCCCTCTTGGGCCGTCCTGGGCTCGTCTTAGTGCCCTCTCGGGCGCCTATAGGGCCATCTTGGAGCGATCTCGGGTGTCTCTGCGGCCGTCTCGAGCGCTCTGGAGACCGAGAAGCCGAGCATGCGAAGAAAGCACCGAAACCAAAGGACAGCCTATCATTTTTACCTCTGGGGGCCTCTTGGGAGTCGTCTTCGGGCCCCCTTGGGCCATCTCGTGAGCCCGTTGGGCCGTCGAGTGGCCATATTGGGCCCATCTTGGGCCATCTTGGGCCCATCGTGGCCGTCTTGGGGCGCTCGTCGGGCTCTCCTGAGGCCTCCTGGGGCACTCCGGGGCCGTCTTGGGGCCATTTAGGGGCCGTCGTGCGCCATCCTGGGGCGCTCTCAGCTCCACCTGCCCTGCTGGGACCGAAGTTGTGGCGGATCAGTTTTCTCTGAATAGGGGAACCTTGTTTTTGATCGAGTCTCAAGCGAAATGAAAACTAGGCTACGGTTTTCGCCCCCTTAGGGGCTCTTCGAGCCAAATTGCGTACGGTGCAGCATCGAACGAGCAACGTCGACGATGGGACCGGAGGTGGAGCGGAGAGATGCAGTGTACAGTGGGGCTTCCAAAAAACCCTGCTCCCACCTACCCTGCCGGCCTAACGAGGCCGATTGTACACATGAAGTAGACGAAAAAGATTTCATGGTACAGCTATAGATGCGCATGTCGAGCGTAGGCCCCAGAGCAAGGCCGTGCGAACCGTATATGCGACCCAAGCACGCACGTATGCGCATGCGCGCCAGAGCGCCGACGACTGTGGGCCAGCACGGGGGGCCTGGGGTTGCCACATGCATGCGCACGGGGTCGCCGCATGTTGTCTCCGTGCGTTGGGCGGGGGGAAAGAAATGTCAGGAGCAACGAGAAGGGGGGAAAGGCTCAGGGGGGAACGCGTCGACCCCCAATGTTCCACTCATCGCTGGCAGGGGCTCGATCGGCCCACCCGGTCCCCACCCTCATCGCTCCCTTTCAAAAGTTTGTGTCCCGTTGGCGGCGAGGCAGAAGTGCTGCTCCAGCGGGCGGGCGATCGGGGCAACCGATACGCGAATTGGCCGGCGTGTGAGAGGGCGGAACTAGACGGACAGGGCGGCCGCGAAGGACCGGAGGAGGCGGAGGGCACTCAGACGCGGAAGAGTTCCACGCCGAGTGCGCCTCCCCGCTAAAGAAGTGGAGCAGGGTGGAGGTACAAGGGTAGGCGGAGGCGGGGCAGCAGGAGAGGAGCCGCATCACGATCGCATATCCCAGTAGTCCAGTTGTGTAGTGACTTCGTGGAGCATCTATCGACGGCGAGCCCTGGGGGGAAGTGAGAAGGGGCAGGCCTTCTCGGAAGGCAACGGGGCGTCTCAGAAGCCTTCTGGCTTTCTATGGAGCCGTCCTTGTCTTCGGGGAAGGCCCAGCACAGAATCAGAAAGCCAGAGGCCTTCCCAGACTTCTGCCCACCGCAGGTCGCCGCCCAACCCAGGAGATCGAGGGTCGGGTGCGGCGAGCGGCTGGACGCTCGTCGGCGCGTGCACCGCTTGCGCCGAACAAAAACCCACATACTGACATACACATATATATATATATAAATGTAGAACTACTTTTACATGTATGCCTGTATATTTGTATGTATGCGTGTATGTACGTATGTATGTACGCACGTACGTAAAATGGTACGCATGTGCATACATTTGTACATGTGTATGTGCATATGCATGTACGTATGTGTATTGTACAGTTAATATGCAAGCATCAAATACAACATACACATACACACTTCTACATGTCGCCACATTTACATACATACGTGCATAGACATGTATCTACATATAACTACACATATGGATGTGGACATGTATACAATACCATTCATAGTAAGAGTGTTACTGGTGTCGAAATAAAAAAGAAGCATGTACATATAATACGAGTACAGCTATCAAGACGTAGAATTTCCTGGTTGGGGGGCTTCTCTCCAGATTCAAGAGATTGGCGGGGGCGAGCGATTCAATGAATCGATACGTTTGTGCCGTGATTTGTTATTACCTGGGAGGGCCTGAACCCAATCTACTTGATCCGCCTTCCTACTTCATGTTTTTACCTACTCTCTCCGACCAGCGTGTAGGTGATCCGGTTCAGGCCCCACGCTCGAGATTCGAGATGTCGCCGGCCCGAAAGCGGCAGCAGCAAAGGCGAGAGGACGCGGGGACGAGGGCAGCGCAGGGGGCGCGTGCGCGCAGAGACAGCCCCACGCCGGCGGGCGCCCGCACGCGCGCGCGCCAGGAGCACGTCGCCTCGCAGGTGGGCGCGAAGCGGCAGGAGAAGGCGACCTCCAAGGAGGCCAGGCCCATTTCGGATCCCATCGATTCGATTCGATGTCAACTTTATCCCAATGGATCCGACTTGATTTTGATTTCCCAGCGATGCGATGCGGCCAGATACTTGCATCCTGGCGCAGCCAATCCGATTCGATGTCGATTCCGTTCCGGTTTGGCCCGATTCGATGCACGTTTTGATCCGATTCGATGCCCCGATTCAATGTTGATTGTTTCTGCACTATTCCTGACTGGTCGTTCATTTTGATCGTCGATCCGTGTGTGTGTGTGTGTCGGTGTGCGTTGTGCGTTTGTTGTGTGTTGTGGGTTGTCGGTTGTGGGTTGTTTCTTTTGTGTTGTGTGTTGTGCGTCATGTGTCATGCGTCGTGTGTTGCGTGTTGTTTCTTGTGTGTTGTGTGCCGTGTGTTGTGTGGTGTGTGTTGTATTTTGTGTGTTGTGTGTTGTGTGCTGTGTGTGGTTCGTTTGTGTTGTGTGATGGTTGTGCTGCGTGTTTGTGTTGTGTGTGGTGTGTGCGTGTTGTTTGTGTGTGTTGTGTGTTGTGTGTCGTGTGTTGTTGGTTGTGGGTTGTGTGCTGGTCTTGTTGTGTGTGGTGTTTCGTGTGCGGTGTATGGTGTGAGGTGAGTAGTGTGTGGTGTGTGTGGTGTGTTGTGTGTGGTGTGTGGTGCGTGTGTGTGTGTGGTGTGCTGTGTGATGTGTGTTGTGTTTGGTATGTTGTGTGTGATGCGTTGTGTGTTGTTTGTTATGTGATGTGTGTCGTATGTCATGCGTCGTGTGTTGCGTGTTGCTTATTGTGTGTTGTGTGCTAAGTGCTGTCTGCTGTGTGTTGTATGTTTTGTGTTGTGTGTTGTGTGTTGTGTACTGTGTGCTGTGTGTTGTGTGAGTTTTGTGTTGCGTGTTTGTGTTGTGTGTGGTGTGTGCGTGTTGTTTGTGTGTGTTGTGTACTGTGTGTTGCGTGTGTTCTGTATTATGTGTGTTATGTGTTGTGTTGTGTGTTGTGCGTTGTGTGTGTTGTTTGTGTGTGGTGTGTGTTGTGTTGTGTATGTTGTGTGTCGTGTGTTTTGTTTTTTGTGTTGTGTGTGGTGTGTGGTGTGTGGTGTGTGGTGTGCTGTGTGTTGTGAGTGTTGTGTGTGGTGTGTGTTGGGTGTGTTATGTGTGCTGTGCGCGTTCTGCGTGTTATACGTGTGGTGCGTGTTGTGTATGGCGTGTGTTATATGTGTTGTGTGGACTGTGTGGGCTGCGTGGACTGTGTGTGCTGTGTGTTGCGTGTATTGGTGCGTGTGTGTGTGTTGAATGCGTTGCGTGTGTTGTGTGTTCAGTGTGCGCGTGTGGTGTGTGATGTATGTGTTGTGTCTGAAGTGTTTGGTGTGTGGTGTGTGGTGTAGTATGTGTGTTGTGTGCTGTGTGGTGTGTGTGTGCCGGTGTGTTTTTGTGTGTGTGTTTGTGTTTGTGTTTGTGTTGTTGTTTGTGTGTGCGTGTTGTGTGCGTGTGTGTGCGTGTGGTGTGTGTGGTGTGTTGCGTGTTGTGCGTGTGTGTGAATTGCGTGTGTTGTGTGTGTTGTGTGTGTGGTGTCTGTGTGCCTGTGTCTGAATGTGAATGTGAATGCGAATGTGAATGTGAGTGTGTGTGTGTGTCCGTGTGTGTGTGTCTGTGTGTGTGGTCGTCGCCTCTGGTGTTTCGGTGTTTCGTCATTTGTGGGCCTCTGGGGGCCGTGTTCGGGCCCTGGGTTCGTCAGAGGCGGAGCTGGGGTGAAAGGCTCCCCCCAGGGAAACTCCCCTACGATTTTCCGGCACGGCCTGCAAGAATTGCATTCCTTTGCCAAGGGGGGGGGGGCCGTCACAGTCAAGACGCTGGCATGAGCACCGCCTGGGGCCCATGAGGGGTCCTGGTCTGCGGGCCGCTCCTCAGATGCGGGTCGCGGAGTTTGTTCGTGGCTGGGGCTCGCCGTCGCACGAAAGGCCAGAAAAGCTTTTGCGTTCACTATTCAGCGTCACTCCTCCTCCTCCTCCTCCTCCGCCTCCTCCTGCTGCCTCCAGAACCCAAGAAGGAAGGAATTCGCCACGCTCTTTCTGCGCACGCGGGCACTCGTAGAGCCTGTGGAAGAGGCTGCCCTTGGCCTCGCCGCGCAGGCCGCACAAAAAGGAGATCGGGTAGCCGAGGTCGGCTGCATCACCCGCTGTCCAGCAGGCGTTGGTAGAGAGGGCGCGGATCATCCCCGTCGTCTTCCCCGATACCTTGCCGGAGGCGAGGGGCTGTTTTTGAACGTCCCAGCACAGACGCTGGTGGACGCGAAATTTATCACCCGAGCCCCTTTCGAGGGACCGAAACACAGCCTCCTTACAAAAGTGTTTCACCAATTTCGGGGAAGACAGGGTCAGGGAAATCTCACGCCCGAAATCGTCCACAATGGTGCAGAAGTTGGACATAGACCAGCCCAGCCTATAAAGCGACATCGTAAGAGCAGAAATCGGGCCCGAAACTTGGGACCACGAATGGTCATCCGAGGAGAAAACAAGACCCCACCCTTCGCGCATTCCGCCCAGGAAACAGACCAGAGAAAGGCACGAGTTTGGAGGATCCAGAGCTCTTTTGCCCAGCGGATGATCGGAGCACAGCAGGCCCTCCACGTGGGATCTTTTTCGGGAAGGCAGAGAACCGAAAGAGAACGGCCCTGGGCCCGAGGTTTAATAGACGACATGGCCAAGCGACGAAGGTCCAAAAGCTCCCTATCAGACACCCCGTAGATGTCCGAGCCGTAGACGGCCCCCGCCATTGGGCCAGCGGCGAACACGCTGAGAGCGCGTCCCCCGATGTCACCACTGAGCTTTTTGAGACGCTTGGCTTTACGAGTCGCAATGGCCAGCCTCTGCTTCAACTTAGCAGAACGCTTGCAGCCGGGGGCGCGCAGGGCTCGACCAGCAGTGTAGTCCACACCTAAGTTGGTGAATATGGTGCAAGCTCGCTCGCCAACTGGGGGCCCTAACTGGGAAACAAGTTCACCAGCCACCACCTTAGAACTGGACACCATGCCCACCTTGTCCATGGCAAGCTTGCACTTGGGCTCTCTGCAAACAGCGTCTTCGATCGCCAGAGCACCCTTGACAAGGGAGGCGACGACCTGAGGGGGCTTCCCCGTAGAACTTAAACTGAGGTCGTCAATGTAAACGTCGAAATCACCAGTCAAAACTCTCGGGATGGTGTCGAAAGCCTCCATAGCGAGCACTCTGATGAGGCTCGTCGCGAACGAACAACCCGCGACGATGCCTTTCACCACAAAGTACGGGCCCTCGACAATCTCCCCAAGGGTCAGATATCTGGCCACGGTATAACCTCTGATAGCCAGTCTGGCCAAACATAATGGGAAACCATGCTGACAGCACTTCTGCCAAAGAAACTTCAGGTCGATGTGCTCATAAGATGTCCGAAGATCCCAAAACATAGAAGCGCTAACGTCACCACGGCGATTCCTCATCTCAGCTCTCAGCGCCTGGCGCCAGACGACATCTCCAGCTCCACGATGGGCCCCCACGGCCCAGTAGTGCCTCGCATGCTGGAGCTCCCAACGGAGAGCTTCAGGGCGACGGCACCTTCCCCAAACACGGACCCAGCTCGGGAAGATCCCGATCGGACGAAAGCCCCCCGAGGGCTTGCCCAAGAGGGCCATCAGGACCCAAGAGAGCTGAAGGGGAAGTGCGCCCGTGGACTCCATGACAGCAAACCAGAGAGCCATGGCCGTCAGAGCAGCGTCAGACAGGAGGCAAAAATGTCCGCAATGAAAGCCGTCGAGGCTGACGGCGCTGCTCGGCTTATAACGCTTCGAAACGTCACGGGTAGTGGTAGGTTCGAGATTGGGGGAGTGGGGCACGAGCTCAGAGGACACGCCGAGACCTTCACCCTGCCCCCAAATCGCCGCAAACTTGCCCCCCCCCCCCCCCCCGGCCTTCAAGAGGCTGGAAGGATCACAGATGACCAGCCCCGCCCTAGAGAGTGGTGAAGGGAGACCAAGAAGCAGGGTCGCGAATCGCTTTCTGAGCATTCCTGGCCCCTCTCTCCAACCCAGAGCGCACCCACTCTTGCCACTCTCGCCGCGAGGAAGACGCAGCGGCGGCCTTAGCAGACGGGCAAGCGATCGCAACATCCTCGATGAGACGGTCAAGATCACCCGCAAGCTCGGGTTCAGCAACTGAATTGAGCGCTTCACGCGCTAAGGCCGCGGCAGAAACAAAAAAATGCAGCCCAAGAAGAATCAGCTGCAGGTTGAACAGAAGCTGGGGGACTAGCAAGCACCGCCAGAACAGGTCGACCTCCTGCTAGAAGACCACGCTCTTGTAGGTAGCACCTAGACGCCCTCAACTGGCTATGCAGCCACAGAACGGACCTCAGGTGGGGGTTCTCTTCTCTACCACCAGCCTTCAAGACACCTTTCCAGTACATCTGAGGCTACTTGCCCCTAATCCCCAAAGGAATGGTAGCCCCCAGGGCATTAGAGAGATCGCGTTCAGCCGTGTTAGCCCACTCCTTGTAACCACGCGTCAACAGGCCGCGGGCGCGATCACCTTCGCCGCTCTGCACCGCCCCATAGGCCTCTTGGGCCATGGATAGGGCCCTGCCCCAGTCACTGGCTTGAGGCTGAGGGCCCACCGGGGGGGGGGGGGGTCGGGGAGGTCGGGAGGGCGGCGGAAGACGAGAGCCGTGAGATCGCCCATGGAGGCATGGAACCTCATGGCGACAGGTCGATGCGGGGTCAGCGTGGCGTCGTCCACCACACCAACAGGCTTAAGACAAAGACTGAGAGCTTGGGAGGCCACAAAAAAAAACATGTCGGGATTCCCTTTGCTGGGAAAGTGAGTGTGAACTTCAGTCGAAATAGGGGCGCCCCCCACCAGGGCTGGACCAGCTTGGTGAAGTCACATGTATCCAGGGACTCAGGGCAAATATTCCAATCACATCCGATGATACACTCACACTCAAGCTGTGCTAAAAAAGACCCACAATTGTAAGAACAGC